ACACAAACTAACACATAATGAACACAAACTCACACATAATGAACACATAAACCAGGCTAACAAGAACAGACTAATTGTTAAAAGAACAATGCTAAACAGCTAACAGAAATGATTAACAATGAACATACATTTTACCCATAATCCCTCCCTGAGGCCATGTGATCAGAGGTCAACCACAGCAGAATGCTACAAAACGTACCGGTAACATCCACAAGTATCCGTGCAGTAAAAGTCTTTTTCTGAACAGTAGTGATAACACGGCTGGTTAAAAAAAAATATATATATAGTAGCCAGGAAGTCATTGATCGCCATCTTCATCTTCCTCCTGCACAAGCTAAAGTTGCTCTGTGGGCGTGTCAGTCCCCACTCACATGCTTTGCATGCAGGGGAAATTCCACCCCACCCACCCACCCACCCCCACCCAGGGGGGATTTCCCCCTCCATTTCTCTCCTCCCCTTCCCCATTTCATTAGTTCAACTCTAACCTGTTCTGTAATTTCACTGGTAATGCTTTTTTTTTAAACCTTTATTTATACAGGTATTCTCACAAGGACCCACCCCCCAGGAGAGACATATATTGGGCAGCTATGTGAGCACCTGGGTATGACGAAGCTAAATGTTTTTGGCGGCAGGAAGCTCATTAGTGCATCAAAAAAAAAAATCTATAAACTATTTGCAGCATTGTATAAGCAGCAGGGTTCAAAGCCTGTAAAAAAAATAGCGGCTTATAGTCCGGAAATTACGATATATAATATTTGAGCTATAATACCACGGGATTGGAAACATTAGAAACTACTGATCTAAACAAAAACACAAAGAGTTATAGACCTTAAGATAAAGGGTTTTTTTTCTCTCGTTACATCATTTCCACAAATCATATTTAAAGAGAAAAAAAAACTGTTTCAATCAAGTTACACATCAGAGAATGCAGCTAGAACAAACAACTCATCCGGGGAAAAACAGAATCAGTGCAAAGTCACTACCTTGCTCCACCAGCTCCGTCAGCAGCCCGCTCCACTCCTCCCTGAAGAGGTTGGCACCAGTCAGGCTGCCGTCTCCACCGATCACACACAGGTTGGTGATGCCGCGCTGCACCAGGTTGTGGGCCGCCTTCAAGCGCCCCTCGTGGGTCCGGAAGTCTTTGCAGCGAGCGCTGCCGATAACAGTCCCGCCCTAATGACAACGCAGGATTGAAACAAGATGAAATGCTTTGGCTCAAACCCATCTCTCCACTTTATACTCATTTTTGTGAAATCAGTGTTACTTTAATAATAAAAAGCACAGTCCTGATAAACACACCAGGTGTTAAATGCCGTTTGAGAAAAGACGGCATCATGTTCTGAATCACATGACACTCATTTCTTACGGTGGGTTGCAAAAATGCACACTTTCTTCATCTTTTTACTATTCTGGCACAGTACAACTTGGAATTTAAACTTTAATTTGACGAAGTAATGGAGAAACACAAAACAGTTACGATTAATAAAGATAAATGTGTAAAAACTTGTGTTCACCAAGTCCAAAATAATATAAACTAAGAAAGTGTTGCGTATGCATATGTTCTCTGAAGCCCCATGTTTCCTTCAACCTCAACGTGCTGAGAACACTATGCTCCATCTGTGGGGATGTAGTTATTCCCCATCAGCAGAGACTTGAGACTTTAAGGAAAGACAGATGGAGCCAAATACAGAAACTAAAAATCTCTGGTTTGACTGCATGCAGCTCAAAAACTTCACTTTGTTTTCTGTAACTACAGACAAGCTCATGAAGTCTGATCCACATCTAAAGCATCATATTGTGAACATTTGAATAAGACAGTTTTAACCTTTAACTTTATGACTATTCACGTTAACATCAACCACCTTATTTAACTGATTAAATATACTAGTTTTAAATATTTTCCACAAAAACATCTAGTCAGTCTTAGAGCCGTCAGCCTGAAATAAAAAGATCTAATTTTAGTTTATTCTTCAAGGTTTTTTTTGTTTAAAAACTCTACACTACAGATTTTTGTTTAAATTGACAAAATATTGATTTTACGGTAAAAAAAAAAAAAATAATTAAAGGGTATTTTCCTCCATTAGTACACCCTCTGGGTCAACATCCATGTCCTCCTGTGGATGTTGTGGATGAGGGGGCCGAGATGGTGCAGAGGTAGGGCAGCCAACTGGGGACCATAAATTCACGATTTGACTCCCAGGCACCTAATCCCCAATTGCTCCTTGGGCGCCTACAGCTGCCCACTGCTCCACCTGGGTGTATCCCAGGTGCAATGGGTTAAATGCAGATAAATAATTTTGCCATTATATGGGAACATACAATAATGACAATCGCAGACTTCCCTTGCCTCCTCTGTTCTCCAGAGCTCAGAACTGATGCTTGGTAATGTTGGTCCAGTCAGAGGGTTTCTGGACCCCCTCCTCTGGATCTGCAGCTCCTCCTCACATTCAGAAATCAGCTCATTGTTTTGACTCAAACACCTAAAACTGACTAAACACTAAACACACTAAACTACACCCTAACTATAAAACCCAAACATGCATCATAGATCTCTCAGACCTCATGACTCACTCCTGCTCTCACTGTGACTTTATCACTGAACTCCACTCAACTTCTGCATCTTTTTCTTTTTCCTGTAGAATTTTTGGATCTTGACCAATGACTTTTGAGACTCCATCAGAAAGGAGAGGGGAGGTGGTTGATATGTTCGGCAGGGGTGGGAGGTGAAAGTGGAGGGTGATGGGGGTGTTTTGTCCCTGAGACTGCCCGTCTTTGCTGCAGCCTCTCGCTCTAATGCACTTCAGATACGACAACGATTTTCAGAAAAAAATGTGGCTTGGATTATTTACCACAACTGGGTTTCCTTGGCCTATCAACACAATTTAAAATCTGATGTGTAAATTAAATCTGTACTTTTGATACAAATTAAAATAGTCTCTGAGAGGCTGTCTTTCCCGTTAGAATGACTAAAACTGGTCATGTGACTATCACACTCTGGCGCGTCGAGTGACTCCAAAGGGAAAAAAATGGTCAAGAGTAGGCGGCTCTTTCCAAACGAATGACAAACTTCTTTCAAAAGTTGACATCTGCCATTATTTTTTATTTAAATTTTCATTATCATTACTTTGTCTCAATAAATTGCATAGAACTTTTTTTATTTTAAGTATTTTGTGTAAGATACTTAAATATAATCAAAGTAAAATTACTTCAGATTCCAAGTTGTCAGACAACAAAACAAAAAAAGGAATGAAAACCTCGACATCTTAATGTACATTTTAAAAAATAAGTCTACAAATGAGAGAGCAAGTGTTTGTGTTTCAGAAAAACTGCATTAAATGTGTGAAGCACTGCTCGTAGTACGAACGCACCACTTGTAGCATACTGGAGACACTTTCCCACGTGGCTTCCTTTATGTTGTCCGGGCCACCGTCCACCATACCTTGATATCCCTGAGAAAAGAGGAGAGAAAGTTTAGTAAGTTCATATCAGAGCTTAAAAAACAAACAAACATGAACACTTTCAGCTGGTGTGTTGTGTGGTAAATCCATCCAGCCATCATCTTTTGCCCACTTCTTCCATTTCGGGTCACGTGGGTCACTGGTGCCCATGTCCAGCAGTCACTGTGTGACAGGCGGGGGACACCCTGGACAGGTCTCCAGTCCATCACAGAGACACAGAGAGACAAAGGAGACAGACAACTATTTACTCTCTCTCACACATAGGGACAATATAGTCCAGTCAGTTTAACATGCATGTTTTTGGTTTGTGGAAGGAAACTGGTGAAAACTCACACAGTAAAGAGAGAACTAGCAAACTCCACCCAGAGCGCCCCCCCCCCCCCCCCCCCGGCTGGGATTCAAACTGGCGACCTTCTCACTGAGGCTGCAGCTCTACCAACTGCACCACTGTGTGGTAAATCCCAACCAGCCAACTACACAGTGCTGGTGAAGTTTCTTAGTAATCTTACTCTGCTCAACCTGTTTTGTATTTGTAATTATTTTTTTCTATCCTAAAATGCATTTTTGTCTTTCAGGTTAACCTGGACCTACACCTGGACCTACCAGTCTGTGTTCGTCTGTCTCTCCTTCCTGTCCTCTCAACCAGCCGGTCAAAGCAGAGGGCCGCTTGTCCTGAGCCTGGTTCTGCTGAAGGTTTCTTCCTTTTAAAAAGGAATTTTCCTTTCCACTGTTGCCACTGTGCTTGCTCAGGATGGGAGACTGCAACAAAGCCAAGATTCAACTTGTCTGCTGGATTCCTTAAATAGAGAACTTTACTAAATGGCTTTTCTATGCATGTGAATGTTTTTGTTGGACTCCTGGTAGGGACCAATGCAGACATGTTCCTGTTTTTAGTTTTCTACATTCGCCTTAGAATCTAGCTGTTTTTTCTTTTTTTTTTTTGTTATCTTTTCCTTTTAGCCATCCTATTTGTAAAAAAAAAAAAAACCTGCAGTATGACTTTTTATAATTGTTTATTGTTGTTGCTGTTGTCCATTGTTGTCATCTTTCTTTGTTGAAATCAGGTCTCTCTTGTAAATGAGTCCTCGAGGCTCAATGGGATTTACCTGTCTAAATAAAGGTTGAATGAATGTGAATGTTTTTGTAAAGTGCCCTGAGACAACTTTTTTGTGATTTGGTGCCATATAAATAAACTGAATTGAAAATCCAGGTCATGGTCAATCAAAAAAAAAAAAAAGCTAACACACAAAACGTCTTCGGCTTCAGAAGTCCAGTTGTTGTTGTTTTACAAACCAGAGTAATATTTCAAAAGCTTAAGGCTGTCCATCATTCCGTGAGGAGCTGTGCTGCCTCGTCATCATGGTCATCTGCTGAGACCTTGAGTCAGTTATGTAACAGCATGCAATGTCAGCACATACACGCATGGGCTGGCATCACGGCACTGCTTTCACTTCCTAAGTCTTGTTATACATCTGCGGCAGGAAAAGAACCATTTCTGCAGTTCAGCAGAGACTGAGATACAACAATGATGCACAATGAGTTCAATATGCTCGTGGGAAGGATGATGCATGCCGTGGTTTTCTCCTGCAGGTTAACATGTGAGTCCAAACTGGCTGCGAGTGTCAGACACATGGCTGGCTGACGGGTTGGTTCATCCTGGCAACGTGTCCAGGTCCCAGGGCTTCTACACAAACTTTTTTTTATTTTTATTACATATTTTTTTATTATTTACACATCCTTAAATTTTCAGACCAATCTCTAATGTCTACATCCAAACTGCTTCTATAAATGTACAACACAGACTTGTAAAAAACATGGGAGGATGAAGCACACTGCCTCTGGTTGCCTGTTTTTGCAACAAGTTTATTCTTATTAACAGGTTGTGAATATTTTTTAAAGAAATAGAAACGGGCCACGTTGGGTCAGTCTAGGTGGAATCAGAGACCCTCTGATTGCGAATGGATGGATACATTCAAGCAAAGTTCTAATGTGTTGCAGAGTCACAAAGGTAATGACGGGAGGGCTCACCTCATGAATAAAATAAACTTTGGCGCCCACATATAGACCCATTCGAACCACCGCGCGCACTGCAGCATTCATTCCTGCAGAAAAGGAGAAGTTAATCAATGAGAAGAACAACTCTAAACACAAAGTACCGTACATGTGTAGGCTCTAAAATGACATGACCCAATCAGACTTTCTGCAAGCTATCCGTGTTCATCCTGTTCTTATTGCAGACCAATGCTGCCATTTTTGGTCAAAACATTTCTCCCACTCCTCCTTTCGGTGGCCTCCCAGTCACTCTGCAGTCAGTCCAAAGTGGGTAAGTTAACTGAACACCCATCGGTGTGACCTGAAAGCCAATACGGCGGGTTACGGTGGAACACCAACAGTGAGGACAAAAGATGTTGCTTCACGCACCACAGGACAGACAGAACTTGGCTGCCAGAGCTGTAAACTAACAACGTTCTCAGAAACCAGTGGACTGCTGAAGTGTTGTTACTAAGCAACACTGGATCAGGTCGGGAGAGAGAAAATCTTCACAACACCTGGAGAAGCTACCGCCACTTTATAAATAATAAAATATAAAGGTATAATTGGAAGCATAAAGGCAAACTTTAGAGAAGGATTAGCTGTGCGATGCAGCAACCCATGACCCGTTATCTTCTTACATAACTACAAAGAAATACACATTCGGCTTTAATCACCGATTCAGAACACGAGGTATCTTTTGTTTTTCTTCGCCAAAGTTTTTTTCAAAGAGTTTCTTTCTGCATGACTGGCCCGTTCTTCAGCACAGTGAGCAAAAAGATTGAGCCAGTACAACACAATGTCCTCTAATCCCAACGCTCGGCTCGTGTCCTGCATGGACCTTACTGTGGGATCTGCTCAGTGCATTTGTCTGTTGCCCTTTTCTACTTGTATGCATATATTTTAATGTTTTAAAGCTTAGTTCCAAAGTGGTAATTTGTGAACTTATTACTATTGCAATTATCTGTGAGGAAGAAAGAAAAAAAAAGAACAAAAAAAAAATGAATACGATTTCATTATTAAGCCACAAAAAAAATAAATCTGTGCAGATTTTACTTTATTGTTCTTAAACACAAATAGAAAATAAATTAAGTCAGTATGGTTTATCAGATGTGCCCACTGTATTTTAAGCTGGTTTATTTCGGGTGCGTTTCCAATAAAAATGTACTGTACTAGAAGCTGTTCGTGCTAAGCGTGGATTTGCTCCAGGCCAATCAGAGAAGAGCCGGTACGTCACGTGACCAGAGTTTCCTCTCTGACGCACAGCTCGGATGGGTGCTGCTCATCACGTACACAGGATGCAGGCATCCCGCCGCCGGCCCGCACTGTGCAGCCTCCTCTCACTGCGAGCCATCACAGCTGCCCAGAGCTGCGTGTCGACGGGCAAGCACCGTGGCGCCATGTACACCACACACACCGACACTTCCTGTTCGTGTTTAGCCGACACACTGAGAGAATTAAAAACAGCTCTGCACAGTCAGTGATAGTAACGTTAGAGTAAATCCAGTGAACAGGAAGACGTGACTCAGGTTGACCTTGACATCTTCCTCAGAAGCTCAGACAGTTTGATGGTGCCTTAAGCCGGAAAACGACATACGTCACGTTAGCATGGCAGCTAGCAACAGTGCGTTACTATGCTAGACCTGAGGCGGCACATAACATCATATAATTACAAATCACACACAGTTACTTCCCAGATATCAGAGTCACACAGATGGCAATGTGTATTTTCGCCCTGTGGGGGCCTGTCCGCACTACTCGGGTATATATTTATCTGTGAAATCCTATTTTTGAGTATTTTACCTTGAGCATCCCCTCCGCTCGTCAGCACCGCGATGGCTTTCCCTGCTCCCGACAGGTTTTCAAAGAATATTTTCTTGCTGTCCGGCTTTGCCATTTTCTCGGCGGTTGAACAGTATTTAAATTAAAATAAACAAAAAATACTAAAGGGGGAGTTTGAAACAGCCTGAACAATCTGTACTGGAATGATGAAGGACAACTCTCCTCAGCCCCCTCGGCTCTCTTTCTTCTGGTTCCGCATGTAACCGGCGATGTGCGTGACTACGGTGATTGGCGCATCGTTGGGCCAATCAAATCTTCTCATGGTAGCGTCGTTTGAGTTTAAACCAATCAGATAAGCCGAAGTCATGTGTGGGCGGATTATACAGTGGAAGGTGTGCGTTCCGTTCAGACTCTATTTACCGAGGCGTAAATTAAAATTAAAAATAAAGTTTTGTCTGTTTTTCTTAAATGTAAACAAGAAAATATCAAGGCCCACCACATCAAACTCAGCCCAACACAGACACTTTGTGATAACATAGCACTCAATGTAATAAATATCCATCCATCCATAATCTTTACCCGTTTCTTACTTTTCGGGTCTCGGGGAAATTAAAAATTGTTATTATTATTGTTATTATTATTATTATTGGTGTTTAAATATCATAGATGCCATTTCATCAAACATCTGACACAATACAAACGTCTGTGTAGTTTTTAGATAACTTTTCTGTTATTAATTTTATTTTATTTTTTGTTAATTTTGTTTGTATATTTGTGCTCAGACTGCATACATGTTTGCTTCATGTATTTTAATTAATAGTAATATGGAGCTTTTCATTTCACGTGACTTTTTCTTTAATATGTTTTTGTTCCATCCGGCAGTTTGTCTCATGTTGTCCATTTAAAATCATTTTTAGTTTCTTTAATTTGGTTTGTTTAGTTGCAAACACAAGAAAGCCAAAATGACATTTTAAATTATAAAAATAAGACAGGATCAGTGACAAAAAGACAACCCTGGCTGTGTCCAACCTGAGAACAAGCTCTATTTTGTGCCAAGACAGCTCTTGCTTTAGTTATACATGGACCAGATATAGCCCTTAAAAGCAACACAGGCACCAAATACTCCCCCAGCACCTCCCACTGAATAAGGATTCTCCAGGTCCACAAAACACACAGAGAATAGAGAGTCAAAGCCCCATGACCCCCAAAGCAACTCTTTAAAGGTGATCTTGTTGTAATTTCGGGCAACCCAGTTGTAACGAGACCCAGAACGACTCAAGACTCAGGATTCAAAAAGTGTTATTTATTTACAGTGTTCGATATATACAATATGTACAAGCCCTGGGACCGGAACTCCTGGAAGAGGGGAATAGTCTTTAGGCAGGCGCAGGTAAGTGACACAGTTGAGTTGATACTGAATTTGTTGTTTTTGTCTTACAGCTTCCTGGGTACTGGAGTGAGTCCAACGGGTCCAGGAGGCATGAGTCCGAGCACGGGTATCCAAGATCCGGAAGGCAAGGCACGAGAGACCAGACAGGAACTGAGTGACCAGGACTGGAACGGGCACGGCAAACGAGGAGCTGCTGGCACAAAAACCACAAGGTAAGTATTTCAAATACTTTAGAAACAAAGGGCTTAGAGCATCAGTACTGGGAGGGGAATCAATGCTCCAGCATCGAGTAGACTTGACTGCAGCCTGCATCAAGTAGACTTGACTGCAGCCTTAAGTAGTGGTAGGAGCTCGTCAGGGAGATGACCGCCAGGTGTTGATCATCAGCGGCCATCTTGGAGCTGCAGCCAGTGCTACTCTCACAGATCTGGTCCAATGTTCCATGATCAGGATGAATGCGACACTGAGTGAATCCCACATCTGAGGTTTAACAGTTCGTTTGAGCATTCTTTCCAACACCCTGGAGTGAATTTTCCCGAAAAGGGCAAGAAGTGTGATCCACAATAGTTGGAACAAACTCTAGTCCCCCTTTTAAAAAAAGTGTAAATAGCCACCTTGGTCTGCCACTCCACAGGTGTTGTCCTAGTCCTCAATGTCCCACTGAAAAGACATGTACACTCCTCCTCCATTGCCGGCCCTCTTCCTTATTGACAGTCTTTTGTCAAACTGGTTGAAAACAACAAAGTCCATGCTCAATAATCCAGGTACCAAAGAGACCATCTAATCACAAGTAGAACTGGTTTGTTCCACTTTGGAGGAAGCTGTTGGAGGAAGAATTAGTTTTGTTGTGTGTTTCCTTGACTGATGAAGCCTTCCACATCGAAAGCAAAATGTTTCAGCACAAAAAAAGAAACTGTTGGGATGACCTGACTGAAAAATGTTGGATTTTATACCTGGATTATTGAGC